GTTCATAGTTTGATAGGTCATATCCATGTTGGAGGGCGGGTAGGCGTACTGCTGTAAGTCCTACTCGTTCTTCCGGTGTGGATTAGGGGATGAGAATGAACCGTAAATTGAAGTGTTAGAAAGGGCTTGTTTTGCTTAGAGGGATATTGTGGGCCGGTGTAGAATTTATATTGAATGTTTGTTGTTGATTGCTTGTGATGCACATACTTGGATTGTTGTTATATATTCTTGTCGGTGAAAAGAACCAAGGTTCTTTTGGTCGGGAGTGTTACGGGAGAAACGAAGACATTTTGCTGATTAAAACCTTCATGTATAAATATAATTAATTTCACTGTTTTTTGGGTATATTTGTTTTACTTAACTTATGAACTTGTTTGAATTATTATTTGCGGACATATTGGACTCCCGTTTCTCTTTGTTGTTCGTTGCAGTTTTTTGCTCCAAGAGATAATAAATTAGAAGGTAACTGTAATTATTATAATTATTGTTGTTAGAACGACATTGGTCGTCTATTTGTAATAAATTATTTTGGTCGAATTTGTGATTTGGAATAAACTTTGGTATCTACTTTGGAGTTTCGTTCTTGGTATAGAAATTTGGGACCGTGAATTACAGATAGACGACAACAGTGCTTCATAAGATCAACGAGCAAAAAACTGGACGTAACAGGTTGCAATAAACACATTCTCTTCATAATGGTAGACCAACAGACTGTCTTCAGTGACATTTAATAAATTTAATGTTGTCACACAATCAGAGCACTAATAAATCAAAAAAATGAATAAAATTAGAGTTTTTACCAGCCTTCATTTAAATAGGATTCAATAGGATTACTGTGATTTATAAACACATCCACCAATTACTTTAATACATATGTTGATTCATAATGGATTACTGAGTTGATGAACCTGGAATCCACTAACGATGAAAAAAACTGTACGAGAAACTACGGATTGCATAATAAACTTGGCAACAGAGTAAATATCAAGAAAAATCACGTGGAACTGTTTTCAAATTAAAATAACGACTTCCTCACTCTGGTAAGTTTGTAAACTAAATAAGTTAATGTCAACGTCAGATTAAACAGTATCGAAATACTGGAAACGTACATCGATTTATCTTTTAGTTTCAAGATCAAATTTATTTTAAATACCTTTATCCTCACCTTCTACACACTATGACTACAATGTTATGCATGTTTGTGTGTATTGGTAATTTGTATTATCTCGTTTTTTACGTGATATCGTTTCCTTCTATTTTGTATACCTGACGTTTAACATGACTTAGCCTGAAGGTGGAGTCTCGAGAATAGCATATCTTTTGTCAATCAATATTCCATGTGTGTCAAAGTTATTGATTGTGAATAGTGATATTCTTCTCCATAACACATGAAAGCTAATTACAAACATTACGTTTGACTGTAATGATGTAACAGAGGTTTTAATGAAACTTGTTGAAATTTAATTGCTCTTGATGTCATCTGACGACCGTATTTGCTTCCTGAATATATTAATATGACCTACCTATCTTGGTTATTCAAAGGGGCTATATCGGCTGGAACACACATTTGTCAGGCAAGTCAGATGAGTAATAAAATAGCCATTTACATTTGTAGGGATGCCTATAGCGAGATTTGACAGAAATGTGGTGTTTCCCTCGGTTAATCAATATTTGAAGCTATCTACACGCATCAGTAGACATGTGTCAGAAATGAACGGCTTGGAATATTACATACCTTACCCAGACAAACGTATTTCCATCTCCGGAAATAAAACATTTTTTATAGCAGATATAATCATTGTTAAACTATTCATATAAAAGCTGGGTGCGGCTGGAATTCGCTATTACGCAAACCAACAACAAACGGAGATCCTCTTAAGATCTCTCTTCAAATAAACTCCCTCCACAGTGAAAAGCCAGGTAACGATGACAACTATCAGTACTTTATCAGTACACACGATCAACTTGGTCACATTCATATCCTTCCTCACCAACTAAAACACCTGTTATCTCTACAATGTGCCCCTTCTACATGCATTTTTATCCTACACCACATTCAATATATCCAATATCTTTTTCACGAACAAGTATATACCAATTGATTAATTTGCGCTCAATACTTGTTCTTTTTAGACGTTTCCAGGTATTTGGTAGTGTCCAATGAATGGAGGCCGATCCACTCGATACCTTCATGGGCGATGCTTATTGATGATTTATTGGTTGGCTGAAAGAAATGAAGAATAGAAATATAACTTGAAACTACACATCAGTCTGTGAAGTCAATGACAATTAAAATAAACCATGTTAACAAGCGCAGGCTTCACTGTTGAGGCACGTGTGATAATCGTAACCAGTGGCTAGAGACTGTGAATTATTTGGTTTGAGATTTTTTAATGGAGCAGGCACTAGAACACCTTGTCTTGCAGAATATCAAAAGATTCTTATTTTCTCATGATTTTATTCAAAATTTTGAGTGTGAACTTTTAGTACATAGAGGAACAATAGCAGCTACAAAGTCAAGTTCTTATCCGTTTGTGAACACAGTGGTAAGAATCAACTTGCCCTTTTGATGCAGGTTAAAAATTAGTGCCGCAACATTTTTCTCGTTACTCCAATATAAAATTTTATTGATAAAGTTATATATGTTTCTTTATGATTGTGAATGGATTAAACTCCCTGTGAAATTTTTGTATACGTAATTTGATGAGTATTCGTTCAAGAGGCTTTTGAATGCATAACAGATTTTATAATCAGATTTCGTAAACAAATTTTATTGTACTTCAGTCATTTAATCAACACTGACACGATACAAGTGGCTACAGATATCTTCAAACATCAATTCTGGTGAAGACAAAATTGCAACCCTTCGTCAAAACTGTTGATTAGAGAAACTTGAAATCATATGATTGACGAAAAAAAATGATGCACATAAATGAATTTCAATAGAGTGTCTACTACCCGTAGGTTATTTATATATCCAGAACATATTTGGAGGGATATAATGTTAGGATATTCATCAAATATCCTAAGGGAATTACTTTTGTAAGTCTTATTCTATTATGGTCGTGCTCACTGTCAATGCCACTTCAAATGTTGCTTACTATTGGTCGCCCTAATTGTCCATGTCACAGACTTCAGGGTTGTTTCCTATTAGACCTAACTAACTAAATAGTAATTATCTTTAACGTTTTATGACCCGGACCCGGAACTTCAGTTCGGGATTCTGATTCTCTTCTGTACTCAGACCTCGAAATTTCTGGATGATTGTAGAACACATGTTCTACTTCATATCAAGTCTTATTCTGTTACTGAATGAGGTTTGGCAAATCGGATTAGTGTAGCCTGTCATGTCCTTGGATCCTCGATTTTCGCTCTCGCTTTCCCACCAAGGTAAACTGATAATATTTCCAGCATACCAACTGACATGTTAACAATGTAATATAGGTGCTTCTGAGATACTACTGATTCCAGATGTTTCACTTATCCGTGAATTCGATCGATTTTCTTCCGATAATCAGTAGTATTCCTTGTAGAGTAATTTCTTCTTCTGTCGAGAGGATTCGATTTTCGTTAACAATACCACTTCCTACTAAACTAAGTTATTTGGGTGATGTAAATATATGATTTAAAGTTCATATAAACAAGTAACAACATCAATCGTTTATGAATAATGTCTAGATTTGTTGTGAATTGAAGATAGAAAATCTTGAATTTTAGTGATCAATATTTGAAAGTTAGCAATACAACAGTCGACATTCGACTAACTTCTATCCTCGTTTCACAAAATTTATATCCAGCGAATGACGGGTGAGTGACTTTTGTGGTCTTCCGATCAGTCAAATATCTCTGGACAATCGTTTGTGACAGAAGATCTAGGTTATCGGAAAGTCAGCTTTTTCCAGCCAGAACTTTCTGCAGCTTTCATTGGAATTTCTGTTAAACAGTTCTTCATTCTTTTCACGCTTGCCTCCATTTCTCCACAAAATATGCTCTTCATTTTCCCACTTGACCTGTGATTTTGATAACTTCAAGCGAGGACTTAATTTGTAAAGCAGGAGGGTGCTTTCGTCAATACATACCTTATCGACTTCAAGTAAGTTTTGCTCATTTCCTCTTTCTCTGCAATCTGGTTTGTTCTGAAACACAGTAGGTTGTTGCTGAAAATATCTGCCCAGCAGATCTGAAGTATTTTGCGTATACAAATGTTGATGGCTTTCGTAGTTCTCCAATACTCCGCTGCATAAAATAGAAATGTCTTTTCATGTAAATTAACTTCTATTTTAGGTACCTAATCGATTAAAACTGAAGGTGCTGTAACAAATTATTTTGCGAGCTAAAGAAAAGTTTACAAAGTGTTGTGCGCAAACTTTTTCTTGGGGACATTGAGTACTGTCTCAATCGGAGTGTAAATGTGACAGGTATCAATGAACAACTATCACAAGTAATTTTTTTTTACATGAGCTACACAGCTTCTGGGTTTGCATAATGTTAGGGCGCATGAAATGTCAATATGTCTCAGCTCAATCATTCGACAGTTCAGTCAATATATGTCAGGCACTCTGCTAAAAGTCGACAAGTCATGGCTAATGTTATGCGACTTTGATCATCAGCATTACTTACAGGAATGTTTTTTCATGATTACAGTGTGGAGTAGCAAACAACAAACATTCAGTCAGCTGAGCAATCAGTCAAAAACTGAATGCATGTTGAATAAATACAGCAACCATAAATACGTCGTAATAAACATGTCTATGTAAATGGATATCTTTGTCGGATACTTTCATAATTACGTTTTTTATGTTTTCTAAAATGTTGGTTTACCAGCTTTTCAGTGTATATATGCAGGTGATTCACGCAAACTAGTGTGCGTACCCTAAACCTATTGAAATGTGAAGGTATTCTTCAGTACAAAGGTGAACGAAAATCAAATTAAATGTTATACTTTACTAATTTGCTCATACTAAATATCATGAAAAAACTCACTTCAACAAATTAATCATTTATTTTTTTGATGTAGCTGTGAACTTAAAATGAAATGAAATTGAGATCAATAAAAGATAGGCATGTGAGTAAATTGAATATTATCAAGTTTCGGATAAATGTTTCTGTTCTCTAAACTAAGTGGTTTCGTTGTGAAATTTTTGTAAATCTTCTTCTGAACAGCATCATTCAATATAAATGTGAAGTGGAAGTGAAGTATTCGGATTTCTTCATACATAACACACAGGGTGTCTTGTCGATTGTTTCATTTTCATTGGGTTCGAATATTGCTCTCCTAATTAAATTTAATTCTTCATGATAATGCTCAGAACAACAATGAAAGCTCACAACTAAACAATTCAGTACAGTTGAGCGAACGTCTCAGTTATCATCAACTTGATTTTAAACTGTAATTCAGTTTTCTATTCAGATCTCGCAATTATAATATTGTTTTCATCATGAGGGAGAGTAAAAATTACTCTTATTCCTATAACGATATTTGAGATTATTGAGCTCATGCTGAAATAACTATCTTTTCTTTACAAACACCTACTTTAGGCATGAGGAAAGACATCTAAGGAGATGCTGACCCTTGAAACTGATCTACTGATGGACAGTGACTGGCCACATTGTGTAGAGCTTGCACTTTACGTCTAGTCTATAGGGCTCTTCCAAGTCTTTAAACAGGTAAATCAATCCGACCTTCGTGTCATCATGCATATGCTTTTCGACCTAGTCATATATCTGATAATATCTCGGTTATTTTGCCCAAGTATTTGTGCGCGCTAAGGCGCTTTTCGTATGTCTAGGTTACTTTTGTGTGACTATAAATATATACCCATGAATTCGTTTTTAGGAGTTGACTGCTCGACCTTTTCCATCTCATCTCGATTTAGTTGGACACTGCTAGATCGAATAGACATACGTTTCTGCGGACACTAGCTGGTATTAATAGTGTAATTTAAAGAATTATTTTCAATTGAGATCTGAGAGATATTCAGCCATAAATCAATCACAGTTTATCTTTTAATGGTATGTAGAATATTCTATTAGACAATGAAGAACACATGGACATTTTTTCAAAATAGTTTACGAACAATAAAGAAAAAATGTCAAGTTAGATGATGACCTTATTGATTATTTGAAGTGTTTTGATGAAAGCGAAAGAAATGATTAACATGAAATTGTGATATAATTACCAGCAACATGAATTCAACCGTAACTATCAAAGCCATATATAATAAAGAGTAATTTTCCCGGATGTTGTATTTTACCAAATAATATATGGTCAATGCAATCACCTGTAATTGTAAAAACAGTAAAATTTAGTCTATCCATAAGAAATTAAAGATGTTATATTTATGTAGTGAAATATAGGATATTTACTAGTGAATGATTTTCATGGCCGGACGATCAATCTAATATTCTGACATACCAGTTTGTTTAGTAATGTTTCGTCAGAATTCAGTTTGTTGACGGATGAAACAAGTTAAATTATCAATAATTTGCGTTCCTTCATTTCATCAACAATCATGTCAACTCTACGGATGTTCTACCTTCAAATCCCTTACGAGTATATCTTGTAAATGCTATCCATAAATAGAATAAAAGTTTCATAACTAGAGGTTTTCAATGTGACGTACAATTTTTTACGATGTACAGTGTACATGGACATTAAAAATATATGGAACTTCAATTATACTTAAGAAACTTACAGTAAACATAACAGCACACCAGCAAATGAATGATGAAATTATCAATGCAATCTAGAACAAAAAGAGAAAGTAATATTTCATTTCAAACTGCCAAGTAAACATTTCGCCGCGATTTATTTCTTTAATACTATAACCGAGATGTGTGTACTGGAATAAATTTATCAAATGGTGACGGTTCATCTTGTTGATTTCTTGTATACAGTACGAAGAAATTGAATATAATAGCTTGTCTCTTAATCAAAAGAAGTTATTTTTTCTTTGTTACGCCTGCACATCATGCTACTGTAACCCGTGTGTCTCAACCCTTATTGAGTAAAAGTAGAAGACTTTATATGAAGTAGAACCTGTATTCTACAAACATTCGAAAAGTACGTGATCCGAGTCAAGAACAGGAATTAAATACACAAACTAAATGCTTTATATGTTGACAAATAAGTCCAAATATATTCACCTAACTTTTCAGTAGAATCTACTGTACATAAATGAATGATTATGGGGTCATTTCACTCATTCATACAGAAATGATCAGTTTACACTTGTTTAAATAATGGATTTGAAACTGTTATAATGCTTAGCTAACTCCGCCAGTAGAACCTTGGGGGCTGCTGCCGGTCCCAAGCCCGGATAAAGGAGGAGGGTTGGACATGGGGTTGGCGACCCCATTCCGTCGAAATCTAACTTGCCAAAAAATCGCCAGCCAGAAAAATAATCCAAACAATTTTAACTCTGACCTGGGAGTTGGAAGAAGTATTATGACGTCGCTTGATTAAAGCCGAGTTCCCTCGGAAGTCACGGGGCTGACGCCCCTTCTGACAACCAGAGCAACCATTCTGTTAGGTACATGGAACGTTCGTTTATTGTGAGAGACTGAAAGACTATTTCAAGTTGCGGCAGAAATGAAAAGATACAACCTGTACGTGCTCGGCATCAGTGAAATGCATTGGACACAGGCAGGACAACTGAGACTAGTTTCAGGGGAACTGTAGAATCCTTTTTGAATGTTTTGTTTTTTGGAAAATCCCTCCATGTTTACATATTTTTGTTATGACATGACGGACCTTTTCTGTTGACATTTTTGGTATTTTATTTGATTCCAATTTGAGATTTTATCATTGTATATTGTTATTATATCTATATTTTGTACTTATATTGAAGTTTTTATGTTTGCTTCTGATCTGGATATATGTTGTTTAAATTTGATCTTTAATATGGCTACAGCCATATTTGGATTGATACGGTCGCTGTTGGACTTAACGTCACTTATTGTCGTTGTTTCGGATACTCTTCGGAGTAATTGTAACCTGGAAGGTGTATTAATTCCAGGTACTGCTTTGTATTTCCATGTTTTTATTAACAAAGACACTTTCTCCTAGAATTTTTGCCTTATCGGGACCTTGGACTGGGAGAACGAGTTCAGGAGTGCACCTATTGGAACCCATTGGAACGGCCACCGTAGAAATCCATTTACAGTCTGGAATTATCCATCACTTTTGATTAGAAGACCAATTACAGTTGGATTATTAAGAAGAATAAAGAAACATTTGGAAATTTAATCGTTTATAACACTAACTTTCTTGAAAGAAGAATCTTGGATTACTTATCGTATTTTCGTATTCGAACTGTATTTTGGAAAACGATTTTTGATTTTGGACAATTTATACCTGTGGAATTCCTATATCTTGTATTTGTTATTTATCTTCCGTTGAACTTCACTTATAATGTCCAATCACAAGAAAACAAACACGAGGAGGGTGGAAGAGCTTGACGTATCCAGAAATGCTAGGCAAGTCGTTAATGATGAATTTTTAATGTGTAACCACTCTGTTAATAACGATGTTATGTCTGATACTTATTATTGTAAGTCACCTTTGGCAGGCATTAAGGAACAAGGCTTAAATGAGAGTTCTAAGATACCAGAGACGGATCAGATACTTAAGACACCGATAGTAGGTTTAGAACTACCTAAGGTCGAACTTACATTTTTTGATGGAAAGTCTCGGGACTATTTTAGATTTATGCGTCTATTTGAGACGTTTATAGAACCAAGAATAAAGGATGATAATGCGCGCTTATTATATTTAATTCACTACTGTAAGGGAAAGGCAAAAAATGCGACTGAAGGCTGTCTTATAATGGATCCACAGGCGGGATATAAGAGAGCTAAGGTTATTTTAAAACAGCTCTTTGGGCAGTCACATGTAATAGCCCGTGAAACCTTAGAGGACTTATTTAGAACCGGGAATGCGGATTTTAATGATCCTGAATTATTGACGAATTTGGCGATTAAAATGCAGAATGTGGCTTTAACCTTAGAACAGTTAAATTGTACAGCCGAACTTAATTCTATGGTTACTTTAGAGCGAATAGTTAGAATTCTGCCCCGGTCTATGCAAGCTCAATGGGCGGAATTAGCGGTAAAATGGATTGAAGAAGATAGAGAGCCTACCTTTACTGAACTTACTGAGTTTGTATTATCTCGAGCAAGAATAGCTGATAGTAGATTCGGTCGGCTGGCTAATCGGCCAAAAATAGGAAGAGATGTAAAAATGAACTGTCACCTTCAATCGAAACCAGCAACCATACCGAATACTAGATATAACTGTAGCATTTGTACTGGTGATCACTTGGTTACTAAATGCCCTCAGTTTTTAGAGCTTACTGTTCAAGATAGATGGAAGCAGGTCAGAAAAAAGGGGATGTGTTTCGCCTGTCTGAAGCAAGGGCATAAGGTCAGTGACTGTAAATCGACAATGCGTTGTGGTATCGACAAGTGTGAGAAAAAACATCATGTTTTGTTGCACGAAGACTCGACCAACAAAAGGGTGGATGATAAACGTGAATCCCAGCACTGTTGCGGACTCACTAGGTCACTGAGCAGACAGGTATGCTTAGGATTGGTCCCAGTACGTGTGAAATCGGAAACAGCAGAGATAATAGGATATGCTCTTTTAGACAACGGCTCTGATTCTACGTTGATAACGTCAACTTGTGCAAGGGCGCTTGGATTGCCGAAAAACCGTGAGTTAGTTGTGGTACAAACTGTGAGTGGTGACAAAACGGCTGCATGTACGGATGCCACCTTTGAAGTGCTTTCTTTAGATCAGTTGGAGCACATCGTGATTGAAGGAGCGATGATCGTACCTAGCCTACCGAGGCATAAGCCCACCATGTTAGCAATGAAAAATTTAACAAAATGGCCGCACTTAAAGGATGTACCGGTAGAAGGTTTAGAATCTGAAGACGTTTTGATGCTCATCGGGTGTGACGTGCCAGAGGCACATTGGGTGTTAGAGCAACGTCTAGGCGGGAGGAAAGCGCCGTATGCGATAAAGACACTACTTGGATGGACTGTGTTTGGACCTACATCATACTCGGAATATAGAAAAAGAGTTGTTAACCATATTAGTAACGCACACGATTTGGAGGATCAGATACGTAAACTGTATGATGTAGAATTTGCTGATGTCTATTCCAGTGACAAGTCAGTGTCAGTAGAAGACCAGATAGCTTTAGAGATAGTGGAAAGAGGTACTCACTACGTTGATGGCCACTTCGTAGTCCCAATTCCATGGAAACTGGATCCCTCCACGAAGGGGACTAACTATGAGGTAGCTAATAGTAGGTTACAGAGTTTAAAGCGAAGATTGATGAGAGACGATAGGTTACACGACAGGTACGCCAAATGTATGGAGGATAATGTCTGTAAAGGCTATGCGCAAAGGGTACCTGAGTTGCACCTAAGGTCGGACTATCGTCCTCGGTGGTATTTACCCCATCATCCCGTGTTAAACCCCAAAAAACCAGACAAGCTGAGGGTGGTCCTGGACTGTGCTGCTAAATTTGCTGGAACCTCTTTAAATGATATGATCTACCAAGGGCCGGACAGCACCGCTGATCTGGTAAGCATACTATTACGTTTTCGCAAGGAAGCAGTAGCAGTATCGGCAGATGTTGAAGAAATGTTTATGCAAGTAAAGGTACCCGAAGGTGACCGGGGAGCGTTAAGATATCTATGGTGGGAAGGTGGGAACACATCTAAAGAGCCTTCTGAATTTCAAATGACCTCTCATCCATTCGGAGCTACGTCATCCCCGTTTTGTGCGAACTTTGCTATGAATAAAACAGCTCTAAGCTTCTCGAGTGATTATGAGCAGTACGTTATTGACGCGGTTAAAAATAACTTTTACGTTGATGACTGCCTGATATCCTTTTCGAGTTGCGACCAAGCGAAGAGATTTGTCACGCAGATAAACGAGTTGTTACGTAGAGGTGGATTTAACTTAAAAAAGTGGGTTACCAACTCAGAAGAAGTGAGGTCTATATTACCGGATAAGGGTGTCAAGGAATCATTGTTAGGAATATCAGCGGATTGTACCGTCACTCATCGAACGCTTGGTATAGAATGGGATGTCGTACACGACGTATTCAAGTTCCACTTTGACGCACCAGATAAACCAGTGACGAGGAGAGGAATCTTGTCTGTTGTTTCGTCTCTGTTCGATCCGTTGGGTCTGATCGCTCCAGTGTGTCTCACAGCTAAGCTACTTCTGCAAGGATTATGTAAATCCCAAATAGGATGGGATCAACCTCTCAACGAACCATACGTGTCCAAATGGTTAGATTGGTTAAGTTTCATGCGTCAGATGGGTCATGTCACAGTTACCCGAGGTATTAAGAATAGAATCGACGAAACTGATGCGAAGGTGGAGTTGCACCTATTCAGTGATGCTTCAGAGATTGGTTATGGGGCGGTTGCTTACGCTCGGGTAAGCTATGCGAAGGTACAACCTTACTGTGTCCTGTTATACAGCAAGTCTAGGGTGGCACCTATTAAACAAGTCACGATACCGAGGTTAGAAATGGCGGCAGCAGTCTTAAGTGTAAGATTGAGCGAGGTAATACGGAAAAGTCTGCCCAACTTCTTCTGTGGAGTGAGTTTTCATACGGATTCCATGATAGTATTATACTATATTAAAAATGCTGAAAAGCGGTACACCAGCTACATAGCTAACCGTCTTGCTGTTGTTCATCAGTATACCAGTATTGAGCAATGGAGTTATGTAAGCTCGTCACAGAATCCGGCAGATTGGACTTCAAGAGGCATACAAAGGATGAATGATCTAGAGACTTGGTTTAAATGTCCGACACTGCTGTACAATGACTCAAGTACCACCACTTACTGCCCAGAACCTACTATGGACCAAGTCGAGTTCAGAAAAGCTACGGTCAATTTGAGTAGTACGGCTAACACTCCGTCACCTATCTTGTCTTATTACTCGGAATGGATGAAATTGGTTAGGGCTGTAGCGTGGCTCAGAAGGTTCATAGACTTCTGGATAATACTTCACTCGCCGAGTATTGAAGGCTCCGTCACGACAGGTTGCCTAAAGGTCAAGGAGCTTGAGTCAGCCAAACGGAAGGTCCTGATGGTTGTTCAAAAGGAGGCATACGGAGAATTACTGAACGAATCCAACGTTAGTCGTAAAGAAGTGAGTAATAAACGTCTGAGAGGTTTAGCACCAATAATGATTGATGGGTTACTCTGCGTCGGAGGTCGCCTAATGTACTCCGAACTCCCGAGCGAGTCGAAACATCCTGTAATTTTGCCTGGTCGACATGGGGTAACCGAATTGATAATTAGACACTATCACAAGGAAGAAGGACATATGGGAACTTCGCATGTGTTAGCTACGATCCGCAAGTATTATTGGATAGTTAAGGGCACCAGCACGGTTAAAAGAGTAATAGGAAAGTGTGAAACTTGTCGAAGGTTCACTTTGTGTCCAGGGAACCAACAGATGGCGCCACTCCCAGTTTACAGAGTGCAGAAGGGTTGGTATAGTTTCGCGACGACAGGTGTGGACTACTTCGGACCTCTTCTGGTCAAGAGAGGTAGGTCACTAGAAAAAAGATATGGTTGTGTGTTTACCTGCCTGCAGACAAGAGCAGTACATATTGAGATGGCATACAGTCTGAATACCGATTCATTTATAATGGCTTTAATACGTTTTATCGGAAGAAGAGGGAGACCGACAGATGTGTTTAGTGACAACGGATCAAACTTCGTGGGGGCAGTCACTGAACTAAAGAGCTTCGTGCAACAGTGGAATCATCAGAAAATTAGTAAGGAATTATCGTCAAGACAAATTCAATGGCATTTCAACCCTCCACTAGCCAGCCATAGAGGTGGAGTCTGGGAACGAATGATTAGATCTATACGAAGGCTGCTATTATTGATCACCAGGGAACAAGTGTTAACAGATGAAACCTTAGGTACGTATCTGATTGAAATTGAGAGAATTCTAAACGATCGACCCCTAACCCCGGTAGTCCAGGATGCTAACGACCGACTAGCTCTATCACCAAATAGCCTACTGTTATTGAGAGAATGTGACGGAATAGCTGAGGAAGGAAGTATTAGTGACAAGTTCCACAAACGTTGGAAGCAGGTAAATTACTTAGCCAATGTGTTTTGGAAAAGGTGGTTAAAGGAGTATTTGCCTTCCTTACAAACCCGTCAGAAATGGCTAAAGGAGCATCGCAATTTTCAGAAAGGAGACGTAGTTATTGTCGCCTCGGATATTACTACTCGTGGAAAATGGCCCTTAGGGATAGTAGAGGATTGCGAGACAGATAAGGACGGAAAGGTCAGAACAATAGTCGTTCGTACTAATAACGGGGTAGCGAGAAGAGACATACGAAGGGTGTGTCTCCTAGAAGGTTCCAACTAGATAGGTTATATCCACATTGAAAACGGGTAGGCGTACTGCTGTAAGTCCTATTCGTTATTTCGGTGTGGATTAGGGGATGAGTGGGAACCCTAAATAGAAGTGTCATTAACGCTTGCTCTTTTTGCATGGAGGGATTTTGCGGGCCGGTGTAGAATCCTTTTTGAATGTTTTGTTTTTTGGAAAATCCCTCCATGTTTACATATTTTTGTTATGACATGACGGACTTTTTCTGTTGACATTTTTGGTATTTTATTTGATTCCAATTTGAGATTTTATCATTGTATATTGTTATTATTTCTATATTTTGTACTTATATTGAAGTTTTTGTGTTTGCTTCTGATCTGTATATATGTTGTTTAAATTTGATCTTTAATATGGCTACAGCCATATTTGGATTGATCCGGTAGCAGTTGGACTTAACGTCACTTATCTCATCGTTGTTTCGGATACTCTTCGGAGTAATTGTAACCTGGAAGGTGTATTAATTCCAGGTACTGCTTTGTATTTCCATGTTTTTATTAATAAAGACACTTTCTCCTAGAATATTTGCTTTATCGGGACCTTGGACTGGGAGAACGAGCTCAGGAAGGCACCTATTGGAACCCATTGGAACGGCCACCGTAGAAATCCATTTACAGGAACTGCTGTTATACACTGCTAATGAAGAGGAAAATGCTTCACATACACAAGGAGTTGCACTGATACTGTTTAAACAAGCACAAAAAGCACTAATAGGATGGGAATCTCGTGGACCCAGGATTATTAAAGTATCTTTCAAAACAAAGAAAAAGGACATTAGAATGAACGTCATACAATGTTATCCACCTACCAATGACTACAATGACGACGTTAAATATCAATTCTACGAACGTCTGCAGTCAATCGTCATCATACGGAATTCTGATGATGGATTCAACTGCGAAATCGTACACAATGGACAGCTATCAGACTCTTTCGAGGTGAAGAGCGGTGTCAGGCAAGATTGCTTACTCTCACCCTTTCTCTTTCTCCTGGTGATCGACTGGATTATGAAGACGTCGACATCTGGAGGGAAGCACAGTATCAACTGGACAGTTGGGACGCAACCGGACTTCGCAGATGACCTGGCTCTTCTATCTCACACGCAACAACAAATGCAAGAGAAGACGACCAGTGTAGCAGCAACCTCTGACGCAGTAGGTCTCGCCAGACATAAAGGAAAAAGCAAAATTTTCCGATGCAACACAACATGCACCAACCAAATCACTTTTCATGGAGATACCTTGGATCCGATGCAGATGTGAGGGTGCGGATTGGCAAAGCAAGGGCTGTGTTTCTACAGTTGAAAAATATCTGGAACTCTAAGCAAATATCAATCAACTCCAAAATCAGGATTTTCAATACAAATGTGAAGACAGTTCTACAGTGTGGAGCGGAAACTTGGAGAACTACGAAAAGCATCATCTAGAAGATACAAGTATTTATGAACAGCTGTCTACGCAAAATACCTCGGATTCGTTGGCTAGACACCATCAGCACCAGCGTACTGTGGGAGAGCTCAAACCAGATTCGAGTGGAGGAGGAAATCAGGAAGAAGTGGTGGAAGTGGATAGTGCACACATAGCGGAAAGCACCTAACTGCGTCATGAGATAAGCCCTTACATGGGACCCTCAAGGCAAAAGGAAAAGTGGAAGGCCAAGGAGCCTATTACGCCGAGAAATAGAGAAGGATATGAGAGGAATGAACAAACATTGGACAGAACTGGAGAGGGAAGCCCAGGACAGAGTTGGTTGGATAAAACTGGTGGGCGGCCTATTGTCCATTGGTGGTAACAGGCGTAAGTAAGTAAGTGAGTAATAGTGCTTAGCTGAAAACATGTGCCAGACCGTCGCGAATTTAGAACATCAGATCAACTCACGTTTGGTTTATCCTTGTAAATGACACTTAAAATGTTAGAGACCATTCCAACTATTGCCAGTACACAGGAAACTGAAAAAAGTAGTATCCTCCATTTGACTGCTGAGCTTAATAATCTCTGACCCAATATCATAGCGAAGATCGTCAACAAGCATGGCACTATGAAAGCAATGACTTGCACATAATTGTTTACATTTGGAGTGTGTAATGTAACACCGATAATCAATAGGATCAACTAGAAAGGCAAACATGCAGTTCATTAGTTTTATATGAGTGCAGTATACAAGTGATTAATCACGATATAAATAAGTGAAGTATAATGTCTAGAAGGTGACAGTCGGTGGATAAAAATGTGTGTTATGTGCTTCCTTTGTTAGTTTTTTTGGGTTCGCTCTTAAGATATTTTTCAAACAAACATGCATATTCATATCACATGTGGATATGAGATGGTTTTTTCATGTGAAAAATATAGCACATGAACAGTAACATATGACGGATTTGAAGAGGATCCAATGAGAAGCAGCATTTTCAAAATTACTATAATACTCATTGATTTTTAGTGAAATTTAAATCACATTTCACAATATTTGTAAATCATTTAGATTCTACAAAATAATATCCATGAAATCTCAAAGAAATTATACAAAATCATAAGTAATATTTGAAATGATATTTGACTAACGGTTTCAATAATTAAGATTGAATTCCATGAAGATGGAGAGTGTGTTTTTTTTGTGAGTACCAGTATGAGTGCCCATATTAGTGCGATAATTCTGAAACATGCAAATAACATGTAAGAGAAAATAAATCAGACAGTACATTCAGCATAAAACAAGTCATTAGTAGTCATCGCTAATAAATATGTAACAGAGAGGCATAGGTTAAAATCAGCGACATTTTCATACGGATATGGTCAAGGATAGTTGAATATGGTGACCATGTAAATTCTCTTTGAGTAACTGTCATGAAGATCGCGCTTTAAACGCTACGGAAAGTGGGTCACAAAAAATCTCTTCAGTGTGATTTCATCAGAGATTGGAAATGGAATAGAGTGATCACTGATTGGTGAATCTCAATGATAATATTCAAAATAAGATCATTAAATGTTTTCACGTTTCGTTACTTACATTAAAGCGAGACCATATGTCAGTTTCAGATCTGTCCAATGGATTGAGGAAAACCTATAAAGAGAAATGATCAATTATCAACCATCGTAAATGACTTACATGCACTCTGTTTTATTAACGGTACTGTTGCAAACTGGTAATGTCATTGCTCCAGATGCTTGTCTTGTCAAAACTAAAATGTCTAGATTGCAATTAACCAATAATTCCTCCTTTATTTGAATTAGGCAGTTATGTAGATACAAGTAATCATGATTTGTATATACATGGATTACACAAAAATATAAATCAATTTGCCTACTCATATTTATAACACATTTGTTATGTCAAGGTAAACAACACCTCAAATTATGTTTTCACTCAATGGAAGCCATAATTAAATTAATAAATGATATTTGACCAGGATTAGTACCTGAATGCACAAATATCATTTGCACTCCTACCAAAATATGATCAGCCTCTGTATCGAAATTTGGATCAGCAAACGTTTGACAAAGTTTTGCATACAACAACGCAATCTGCACTAAAGTGCATTCAGCTGTAACAGCGATATCAGCAATCATTATAAGGAAATACATGGTTTACAAATAATATAAATACTTTTACCTACTCGTATAGATTTTCGTTTTTGTATGTCAGTGTAGACAATACCTCAAACTGTTGTATTCAGTTTATGCCTTCAATCAATTCAAGCGATAAATAACCTCATCAATACATCGAAATTAGAGAAGTAATCATATCATGTTACGAAAATTTGAAAACTTACATGAGTGTATTTTATTGTTTCAATCCAATCACAGGCATGTATACCCGAATGCACAAATTACTTTTAAACGCCTACTAATTTATATGTGACTGCGGTTTTGAACTTTGGAACCGGAAACGATTGACAAAGTTATGCAGAAAAAAATGGAATCTCTAATTCACCTGTAAATACCAAAAATTCGATCAAATTTGTGTTTAATGTAAATTAATATGTGACATTGTGTTGAAATTGAAAAGTTGATTAATTTTCTCACTCCGTTGGTCTCACATACTAAATAAGGGTTTGTTTAGGTCGGATGAAACATCATCGGAATACTAGAAATGTTCACCAATTTCATTATTATTTCGATAATCGAATTATTTAAATGGTTGTGCGTGCTACTTTCTATAGAACATCAACATATTTCCATGAATATTTGTTAACCGTTATGGTTAGAGATAGTTAAAAAGAGATTGTAAATCTGCGTTTTCTATCACTGGACACTTATCAGCGAGGTTTGACTGTGAACGTGTAGGCAAAGATGCTTGATTACCTAATACTGATCGATTAATTGTACTACATGTCATCCCGTTTTGAATCCAAAGAAGTTTCCTGAAATGCGTTGAAGTCATATATTTGTAAATATTATTCCCATTTGGAAAGTTGTTAAGATTCTATGAGATAAAGTGAGTGTCGTCGTTTACCAAGTTTACTTTGGTTGACTGGAAAATGAATGTCACCAATTCATCGCATTTTGAAATCCCAAATGAAATCTGAGGAATGAGTGTGTGATTTTTTGTAGTCGACAGCATGAAATAAAAAGTTAGGATATAAATAAAAATATACCAAAAGTTATCCTGTTATGTCTAAATCCTTCATTGAACGTAAAATCATATGTTTTCACAATTCTCACATATTTCACATGTTTCTTATATGTGTGTTGTGTCTTCGTATAGCTTACCCGAGCATAAGCAACCGCTCCGTAGCCAATCTCAGAGGCGTCGCCGAATAAGTGCAAGTCCACCTTCTCGTCAGGTTCATCGACTCTGTTCTTGATACCTCGAGCAACCGTGACATAACCCATCTGACGCATGAAACGTAACCAATCTAGCCACGTAGACGCGTATGTTTCGTCGAGAGGTTGATACCATCCTATTTGAGACTTACATAAACCTTGCAAAAGTAGTTTGGCCGTAAGGCACACTGGAGCGATCAGACCCAAAGGATCGAACAGAGACGAAACTAAAGATAGGATTCCTCTTCTTGTCACGGGCTTATCCGGTGCATCAAAGTAGAACTTAAATACTTCCTCTCGACATCCCGTTCTATACCAAGCGTTCGATGAGTAACAGTACAATTAGCCGATATTCCTATTGATGACTAACTTTTACCTATATGCGGCAATATGGACCTCACTTCCACTGAATTAGTAACGGACTTTTTTTAAGGTAAATCCTCCTCTTCGTAACAACTCACTTATCTAAATGACAAACATCCTGGCTTGATCACAACTTGAAAAAAATATCAGACAGTCATCGACGTAAAAGTTGTTCATGACCGCATCCAAAACATAACGTTCATAATCACTCGAGAAGCTTTGGGCTGTTTTATTCACAGCAAAGTTTGCACAAAACGGAGATAAAGTGGTTCCAAATGGATGACGAGTCATCTGAATTTCAGAAGGTTCTTCAGATGTGTACCCATCTTCCCACCACAAAAACCTTAGCGCTCCTCGTTCATTTTCGGGTACCTTCACTTGCATAAACATTTCCTCAACATCTGCCGATACCGCTACTGCTTCCTTGCGAAAATGCAATAGTATGCTTACGAGATCAGCGGTGCTGTCCTGCCCTTGGTAGATCATATCGTTTAAGGAGATTCCAGCAAACCTAGCAGCACCGACCAGGACCACTCTCAACTTATCTGGTTTTTTGAGGTTCAACAAGGGATGGTGAAGTAAATACCACCGGGGACGTTAGTCCGACTCCAAATGCAACTCAGGTACTTTTTGCGCATAGCACTTAGAGACGTTATCGTCACACGTACTGGGATCAGTCGTAAACATACCTGACTGCTTAGTGATCTAGTAAGTCCACAACAATGCTGGGAATCTCGTTTATCATCCAACGTTTTGGTGGACATGTCCTTCTGCTCCTCCAAGTATTGTTTTGAAATATTAAACGACAAAAATTCCAAAGGATCCTTCTCCAAATATTGTCTTGAACTGTTAATTTTATAATTTACTCTTCCAGTCCGTTTTTAACTCGAATAGTGTAGGTTGATACTCATCCCACCCAGTCCAAGGCCAAAAGTGATAATTCTGAGAAAGAACGTTTCAAAACAATATTAAACCTTCGATTTTCCATTTACCACAATAGGTTCCGTTGCCTGAAGAATTAGTGCTTCCAGTTCGTTACTGCTAGAGTATCAAGTCCAAATATGGCTCTAGCCATATTAAGTATCAAATTTAAACAACATATGTATAGTTCAGAAGGAAACATAAAAACTTCAATATATGTAGAAGATATAGAAATAATAACAAGACACAAATGATAAAATCTCAAATGGGATCAAATAGAGTACCAAAACATCAACGGAAGAGTCAGTCATATCATAGCACAAATATATATATACATGGAGGGATTTTCTAAAAAAAACCTTCAAAATAGATTCTACAGAAAGGATTCGATTTTCGTTAACAAAAGCATTTCCTGATAAACTAAGTTATTTGGTTGACGTAAATATATCATTTAAAAGTTCCCATAGACAAGCAACAACATTGGAATTATCGAATAATCGTTTATGAATAACGTCCAGATTTGTTGAGAATTTCAGAAAGCAAATCTTGAAATTAAGTTGTAAATATTTGAAAGTTGGCAATTCAACAGTCGACATTCGATTAACTTCTATCCTCGTTGAAGTGAATTAAAGGACGTTTAGCAATTTCACACAATCTAAACCTAGAGAATGACAGGTGCGCGACTTTTGTGGTCATTTGATCAGTCAAATATTCTAAGACAATCGTAAAATGAGATGAGTCTCGTCAGCATCCAGTTCGTTGACAAGAGAAACAGTCGAAATTTTTATTAATTTGTCTTTCGAAATCTCACCAATCATTCAGTGTGTGATGTCAAAACTACGAATTTCGCGACTTCAAATCTATTCTGATTACTTCTTGAGATTGCTTTGCGTGAACAGCATAAATGCTTCAAAATGTGATAGTGTGTACAGAATCCTCAAGGAAAAGAGGAATACCAAGGAACGTATCACGCTGAGAAATGGAGACAGATATTAGGAGAATGTAGATCAGTTAGAGAAATTGAAGGGAAGATCGAGGACAAATTCGGTTGAAGATTGCTGGTTGGCAGCCTAAGTTTTATTGAGGGTGATCGGTGTAATTTATCAGGAATATGATCACAATTCTGATAAGACAACCTGCAACATGCCTACTCATGCAGTTAAAGTAGGACCTAGAGGTTGACCTTTATTTAGATAAAGGTAGATTGTCAGCTTCTTACTTCAACTTCTCTTCCATCCATCTTTACACAATTTACAACCCGTTACTGTCTATCGATGTTCTCTTTAACTTGTGTGCTATATCGCTATACTTTATATTTATTATAGTGAATTTTGTCTTCACTTACCAGTGCTTTTTCTGCTTTGTAATAAATAACCGAACTCTTTTTAGGACCCTATCAACAGGGGAATAGACACAAAACCCATCATATGTACGCGCTCGACAAGGTTACAGTGTATACCTAGCGCCTCCAGTTGACATTTTTCAGCAAACGTACTCTTGTTATATGAACACCAATCAAGAACTCTGATCTGTACATACCCTATTTGTAATCACCTTTTGATAGTGCGTCTAAATCATGCCATTCCTGTCAGTGATATGTTATAAATGCGCTCTCAGAAACAGGCTGTTATTGTAGATCTAACTGTGCAACCTTTCACAGAAAATGTGTCAGCATTGGTAAAAGTTTGGTCTAACCCAGATAAGTAGTATGCCTCATGTGACACGCTGTTATATGAGAATAAATATATTAATAATAATATAATAATAAAATAATTAAAACGCACATACAACTCTACTATAAATCGGGTCTAGTGATAGATAGTTTCTCACTTTCAACCACTCATTTCATCATATCAGATCTATTAATGTTTCACCATCGAATCTATCATGATTGATTCCTGGTAATGCACAAAACTTTTGGAGTAATAATTTTAATCTTAAGTATGATATTTAACACTGCACAGTGTCTGGAGACACTCAAATATATGGCGAATCAGTTGTTCATCAAAAACTTACAATTGACATTGAACCACACCAACAAATGAACGACAAAACTGCGAATGCAATCTAGAACAGAGACAGGAAAATAGTTCATTTGCAGTAATTGATTGAGTAATCCTTTTTTACCAAAAGTTTTTAACAAAAATTATGAATCAGCCAATTTTATAGTCAGTATTTTAGATCAACTCACATGACATGTTGTATTCATATTGGTTACACGATTCCAGCTACTACCGATAAACACGAAACTGAAAATAATA